ATCACTTTTCACTCGGAAATACGACTAACTGTCCTTAAACTAATTTTTAAAGCAGCAGCAACACGCTACAAAAAATGAAATAAAATTTCACTATTATTAATATACATTACATATAATTATTAGTAACCTACCTCTTGAACAGCATTTAAAGGCAACAAAGGCCCGTTGTTGTCCCTTTCTTGCTCAAAGTAGTGCATTAACGAGGCCACGAGTTCCTTACACCGACTATTTAACTGTTTGGGCATCTTTATATACCAAAATTGCCTTTATCTACTCGTAAAATGAATAATTTTGTTTTGAAACAAACAGTTGTTGATTTACAGTATGCGGGGCCAAAGGATTTATAAAGATTTGAAATGCCACAAATTGATTCAGTGTCAAAATTAATACAAATGTCAGTTCCCAGTTTAAATAAGTTTCAAGGTGACAATGTGTCAACGCTGCGAAATCGGTTTAGTGCGTTTACATGTCGATAAGTGATTGGAGCGTTTGAAAAACATTTTATTTCGCATAATGCGTCTAAATTTATCAGAAAGCAACTTATGTGATATTTTAATAACAATGTTTATATGACTATTAACCATAATAAGAGAGTAATGACCATTTTACAATTTATATATCACATTAATATGAAACTGCAATAGAGCAATTGTTTGTGATAGAAACCTAGGCATTAGGTCGGGGAATTTTTATCGTGATGACGTGCACGCCACTTTGTTTGGCGTTGACTATACCTACTAAATTAACCACGATTACTGCGACAAAGTTACACAGGGTCAATTATAACTTTGGATCTTATAAATTCCTTGAGGAACGTTCAATGGAGGAGGACTTAAAAGTTTTCATTTCACAGTAGGTTGTAACACAGACTATCATAGCTGTCAGTGTCTGTCGTTAGTCTGCCAGGTCTGCTGGCCCAGAAACCAGACAAGTTTTAGGCGTTGATGATAAATTTTAGACAATTTCGTTTTCTGAGATAAATTTTAGTAAGTAATTCAAAAGACTCATGAAATTGATTAAGGTTATTGATTAATTTGCAGATTGTGAAATAAGTTTCAACCTGAATGAATACACTGAAACTCTCCAATGTACCTTTATTACCATGTTGGTTGCATACAAGTGTTTGGGTTTAATATTTGCTGTGTAAAGGAAAAACCATACAATTTTCAATACTATTTTCAATCATGCACTTAAATTTAGCATACATTTTGTAAATATGTGTTATCTAGAGATACGGTCAGCAAAGAAAAACCTCTTTGACATCGATGACAGCCTGTGATGACAAATGTTACAGCTTGCTGTGGAATTTGAATGTTAAATCCTCGCTTGAACTTACCTCAAGGGTGCTTTATTGAGTGTTAAAATCCAATGAGAGACCGTTCCTCGAACGGCACTTAATCATCAAGGAACGTTTATCTATTAGAATGTTATTTCATATCACATTCTACACATTACAAAAAATCATGGAAACGAGCTTTACTCAGACCGATAGCTAAAAGTAATAACCCCACCTCTTATTCTAATTCAAGACCCATAAGCATCCTACCCATATTATCAAAATTATTAGAGAAAGTGAGGTATATACCAACTAAGCAATGCGGATTTAGGAAAGGGTACAATACCTCAGGAGAGTTATTAGACTTAACAGATAACATCGTGAAAGCTTGGAAACTTAATTTCATTAGCTAAATTTAAGTATCATGGTTTTCCTGAAACAGATCTCAAAAAGTTGTTATTGATATGAAATCATCACCAGAAACTTTTATATCCTCGGGAGTGCACAGGGAACAGTGATTGGACCACTCCTTTGTACTCTTTACATCTAGACAAAGTGGTAAAATATTGCAATACATAATTATTTGCCGATAATTCTCAATTATACAACAATTTCAATAATGGCAAAATTATGGTCTAAGTATCTTAAATAAATGAATATTCAAAGACTATTGATAATTATGCAAAAAGTGATAACCTCCGTTTGAATCCTACAAAATCAAAAGTTATAATAATAATAATAATAATTATAAATGGGCTTTATTTCGTACCTAAGTAAAAGTACAAAAAAGGCGAAGTGTCGCTAAAATTAGCGTTTTTCAACTTAACCTTAACCTTAACAAAAAAAATATATATATATAATAAAACATTCTACCAACAAAAATGTATCCATAACTCTCAATAATTACTAAATAATTAACAACACATAACAATTACAAGAATAGTCCATATTTCTAGCATTTTGTACTCATCATCAGACCTCGACTTGTAGTTTTAGTTTAAGCCTCTTTTTAAAATTAAATAACGTATAGTTTTGGAATGTAACAGGCAGATCATTGTATAATTTAATAGCATTGTAGCTGAATGATGTTTTGTAGACAGCCTTAAAATGTATGTATGTAATGACATATTCCTATTCCTTGTATTCAGTTGATTTAAGTCACTACATCGTGTTAACTTATTATGCAAATATTGTGGTTGTTTGGTAGCTAAAACCTTATGTGTGAGTGTCAATAAGTGAAGCTTTTGCATGCCTTTAATCTGCAGAATACCAAGTTCCTTAAATTTATGAGAAATATGATCAAACTTTCGTATTCCGCAAGAAAATCTGATGCACGAATTCTGAATACGCTGTAATTTGCTTTGTCATATATACTGTCACAATAACTGATTTTTGATATAATTAATGTTTCACACAGTTTCAGCTTTACTGAAGTAGATATTATTTGCCTATGTGGATAAAACTGTTTCAAAATGCGAATTTACGTGTTTTTTGTATTTTAGTTCTGTGTCAATCCAGAGTCCCAGGTTTTTACACTCATTCATTATAGGAAGCCGGCAATCATAGATTTTAAAGTTAATTTCCGTTTTTATCAATGTTCTTTTGTTTTTTGAGCCGAAAACCATAACTGAAGATTTAGATGGGATTAATTTTTAGGTTATGTGAGCACGAGATGTCTACTAGCCTTGTTAAGTCTTCGTTGAGCAATGCTTCTGCAATTTTAAAATCTTTGTGTTGGAAACTAAAATAAATTTGAGTATCATCAGCATAGTGATGGATTGTGCAATTATGGACATATTGATGGAAATCCGATATATATAGAGAGAAAAGTAAAGGTCCCAGTATGGAACCTTGTGGAACACCAAAACTTATAGCAGTTGACTGTGACATTTTCGAAGCTGTTAAGACCTTTTGATTTCTATTTGACAAATAGCAGCTTATCAAATTGACTGCAGCATCAGTAAAACCATAGTAAGACAGCTTAAGTAGCAGAATTTCAGGGTCTATCATATCAAAAGCTTTTGTGTAATCCAGCAGAACTATACAAGTGATATTTCCTTGGTCAAGGCCTCTTATAACATCATCAGTGACATTGGCTAGAGCAGTTGTTGTACTATGGTTTTCCCTGAATCCAGACTGCATTGATGGAACTATTTCATTACTGAAAAAATACTGAGATATTTGTATCTTCATTTCCCGTTCCAAAAGCTTCGAAAATGCGGGAAATAAGCTGACTGGTCTAAGTTGCGTTACAGACGTGGGACTCGCTACTTTAGGAATAGGTATGATGATAGCCTGCTTCCAAACATCAGGGAAACATGATGTTGATATTGCGTGATTGATTATAAATGTAATATGGTCTAAGAGCAAGCAAAGGCTATTGATAATTATGCAAAAAGTGATAACCTCCGTTTGAATCCTACAAAATCAAAAGTTATTATATTTTCAATGAGTTTCTTTTGGCAAATTTAATAGTTTATTGATTGTAGAATTTCACTCGTATTATACCTTTCTTTCTCAGCGATTCAGTATGGTGTTGACGATCAGCAAAAAATTCTGTAGTTTTTCTCCGTTAGTTGGTTTCCTATAAAACATATCTTCTTCAAGGCCGCTCAAGATACCTTCTTCTAGAACGTTACGTGTTCTGCGTGATTCGCTTTTCTGTTTCCGTTGAGGTCGTGGTGCAGGGGTCGTTTCGTCATTTTCCGGACTCTGGAATATTAGGCCCCAAGCGCCAATTCATGGACTTGCACCCTTTTTTGTGTAACTTGAGTTTCGTCATTTTGGTTTGGGTGCTACATCTTCCATTTTTTTTATGGGATTTTGACCCTCAGCGGTAAGTTCTTTTCTATATACCTTCGGACCATGTGCCTTAATGCGTGTCCTGATGACGTTCGTTCAATATCTGCTTTCTTTCAGTCAATAGAAACAGAAGAAGATCATCATCCTTTCTCCTCCAGTTGGTTGCATCTTGTTGCAGTTTTGCAAATTGGTGGAAGCCATCCCCTTGAAAAAAAATATCATGCTAATTAACAATTTCATAGATCTTTATACATTTATTATTGCTTATTGAAATTCTTAGAGATTTCTTGAACATTCTACGTATTCAAATATGGGGACAATGCCTACATGGCACCTTCTATTGCACTGTCACGATTTTGATTTTTGAGCTGCCATAACTTTTTAGAACAAGGGTATATTAGTTTAATCCATTTTTACCTTTTTTTTTCCTTTGCTTTACTTTTCTTGTACAAAAAAATGTACACGGTTTTGTTTCAAGTGCGATTGTTTTCAATGAGTAGTTTTATCTTATCTTGTCTTATCTTACGTTCTGTCCTGTAGAGTGGACAATTTGTTGGGTATGGGCAGATTGCTTGGCGGAAAACTTGATGTCTGCACATATCAACAAGTGGGAATACAATTAGTTCTCTTCTGAGACTACTGAATGTTATGCTAAATTTGACATATTCATTCCTTGATTTAATTTACCTATTTCGACTATCTTTTATCTTCATGATTAAGTACTGATTACCTTTATTAGTTCGTTTAACTTATCTTACCTTTACGTTATAATTTCTGCTATTTGTTTTATGACTGGATTCTGGAGCATTTTCGGTAGTTCCTTGCCCTCTTGTCCAATGGTGTGAAGGAAATTATTATATCCTGGTGATGCTAAAGGAGAATATGCCACAACGACGAAATCGTTTTTGTGACAAAAATCTACCAATTCTCTTTGCTGTATGGCAACGTGGATTTCTATTTGCAAATAAGCTGGTTTTATCCTGCACGATTTCAGTATCGTTACTATTTGTTTTCTGTTGAAGTTGGACAGTCTAATGGCTTTTGTTCTACCGGCATCTACTTGCTCTTCCATTTTCTTACACAGTTCCACGTGATCACTGTTCTCCAATTTCAACATAGTGGGTGGAGTAACTAAACATCGCTCCACGTAGTTTGTGCCCACTGGGAAATGCAGCAAATATAAATCAACGTAGTTCAAACGCAATTCTTCCAGTGACTCCTTCAACATCATTTCGACCCTGTCTGGATGTACGCCGCATAGCGCCAATTTGGTGGTGATGTAGAAATTATCCCTTTTTATCTTGCCGGTGGAAATCCACTGTTATATCACCCTTCCAATGATCTTTTCGTTTTCGAAGACGTAGGTGGTGTCGATGTGGCGGTAGCCGACTTCTAAAGCTGCATTCAAGGCTGTCTCTAACATTTTTATTAAATAACTGTGTCACGCTTTAGAACGTCTCTCATTCTTGGAGCACCAAATTTTGAGAAACGGCATGTAGATACTACACCTGTAAACGTTTTGGAATAAGTCAATTAATGACAGTATTACATATTTCAACAATTTGCGCCTTTAATGTTACGTGACAGTTTTGAGGATCCAAGGCACAAATTTGGAAATTCTAGTGCAAACTCCAGGTAGATTCGCCTCGGCACAGCCAATACCCCGGGAAATTATACCTGCCAAGAAGTATCGGCCATCTTTGCTTTTAACCTGTAAGGGTCCCCCAGAATCTCCTTGGCAAGAGTCTTGTCCTCCGCCTTCATGTCCAGCACAAAGGAAGATAAGAATAAATTCGTGTCTTCCAGCTCTCAAAAACATGCTTTTGCAACGGTCGTTGCTCACTAAAGGCACCTGCACCTGTTCACATATCTCTGGATGGCGAAATTATTCAGGTATATGAGTCAGTTAAAAACTTAGGTATTTTTCTTGACAAGTGTCTAAATTTCATTCTATATGTGAATCGTATCCCTAAGAGTTTTTCAGTACTTCGCCAGACCTCAATAAACACATTCTAGATTAAAAAAATAAGAAAATTCTATACGAATCATTTATCGTTTCAAAAATCACATACTACGATATTGTTTACCATTCATCTTTAGATTCGGTATCTATCGAAACCCTTACAAAAAATTCAAAATTCTTGCTGTAGATTAGTTGAAAACTTGAAAAAGTACGACCATATTTCGATATCTTTTCAAAACCTAGGTTGGTTGTATGTTACATGTTATACAACTATCACTTACTATGTTATGTTCATGAGCTTAGTACCCCCGTTTTTAAAGCAAAGGCTAATAAATCGTATGTGTTCATTTTAAAGATATCGGCTTTCCAAGTGCACCACCGCCTATCCACAGGATTTAATTTTTCATTACTTCCTGAAATTAAATCTTTGACACTTGATAAGTTTGAAAAAGATCAAGAATCTGCTTTTACAGTGCCAAAATTGAAAATACTTATCTTTCACTTGAACATACTACGAGCCCCTTCCCACTTCATTTGGCCCACTTCAAGATTTGTACCAAAATATGCCTTTATGAACTAAACATGAAACTATTTACTTGTAAAACAATTTACTTTCTTAAAAACATTTTAGATACACCGTAGTCGTAAAAAATACATATTTGAAACCACTTAGACCTATAACATATTGGAACATCTGAACAAATAAACGATGTGCGAATAAATGCGCGAAGTTAAGAAAGCAGCAATTGAAAGTTTACCATAGGGTAACATCACATTTATCTTTTTATTACGGCTGAAATTCTTTGGGGCATAGTGTTAACCAAGTTTTGGCAAAAATTTGGTGTAAAACAATCCCATATTTCTTGAAGCTTTTGTCTCAGTTCGGTGATTGTACGCGCAGGATGTGGTCGTAGAACCTTTTTCATCTCGTGCCACAAAGTTTCCATAGGTGACAGATCTGGACTGCTAGAAATCCATTTCAAAAGTGGTACATTATTTTCTTCCATCCATTTTATAGCCTTTTTTGAGGTATGGCACACTGCACCATCTTGCTGAAACACAAAATCTTGGCCGGATGTCAAACATTCTTCCATCACTGGTAAAAGCGATTCTTCTAAAATTGCCAAATATTTGTTTGTATCCACATTTCCATCAATAAAATGAAGTTTTCCTACTTCTTTTGATGACTTACTGCCCCAGACCATAATGGATGCTGGAAATTTCACTTTTCTCTTCAGAGTGTCAACATGGAATGCTTCATTTTTTTTGCGAACAACTCTACTGCGACTGTCACCAAAACAAACTTCGAATCGGGCCTCATCATTTCATTGTATTGCACACCATTGGTGAGATGTCCATTGTCTATGTTCTTTAGCCCATCTAAGCCGATTTCTCTTTCGCAGTGGAGTTAATAGTGGCTTTTCTTTGGCCTATAAACAAGTTGTGCAGCTTTAGGGTTTTTACTTCGCTTTCTTTATAAGAAAACTTACCTTGCAAGTGCTAAAACCCAGTTTGTGGGCCTCTCTATGAGTATTCTCTTAATGCTTTTTGGTCGGCATTTGTGATATTACTTTTTTTCACATATCGTGCCTTAATATTAACTGAACCAGTTACATTATATCTTCTAACAATATTTCTCACACTGTACCGAGATAAGTCTAACAAAGTTCCAATTTCTGAGTTTGATTTCCCAGAATTAAAAAATTTATTTATCAGTAACCGAATTTTCTCACTAACAACCTTTCCTCTACCCATTTTGAAAACCCTAACTATCCAAAACTATTTTAAACGTATTCTGACAGCTGTGATTAATAAAAACAATTGTCATGGCTTTTATTTTTCACAGCCAGCTATGCGTTATAGACTTATTTTGCATTGAAATGAAAATAGGCTGATATGCTGTAATTGCAACATGTGTTATTTTTATGCTGCAAATTTGATTAGGGATGATAAAGTTGGTGTTTTCTACTATAAATCATCAAAATATTCATTGTTAATATTTTGAACCTATAACACCCTGGTACTTTTTTATTATTTGTGTTTGATAAGAAAAAAAATAAGATTTTAATAGTTGGGCCAGCTGAAGTGGGAAAGGGCTCGTATTATTATTATAAGGAGGGTCCTATAACTCAGAACACTGAGCTCAGTCTGCATATTATAAGCTTAGTCTTACAGTCATACATTATCTTGCTGATGTTGCAGTACAGCATCGCCTGAATAGCCCTACATACCAGTGGCAGCAAAGTTACTCAGCATTAATAAGATCGTTCCCATAGCCTATCGTATCTGAGATCGTGATCTCATCAGTTGTCTCTCCGGCTGAAAGTGAATCGATCTTTTTCAGAGTTAAGCGTATGTAAACGTCGATCGCAGAGTAGATTCGCTGTTCCCGTGTACGAGATAGGAAGAAACGGCGCAGCGTTTTTATGAACGGACTCGGAACCCTCTCAGGCGCCGATGCGTACTGTCGAGGTACATCATGTAGCGTTTTAAGATATTTTATGTATAAGGATGAAAAACGCAAATACCACTGGTGAAAATAGTTAAAATAATTTTTTTGTGACATGGACAAAACAAGGTAGTTATTATGTAAAACGTACCCAAAAAGCCGGAAATAGCATTCCATTTTTATATCACCCACGGTTTTCTTGCAATAAGGCATTTTATTTGCTGCTTATACTGACAAAATATAAGGATATGTGTGTAGGAGTACTAAAAAAACACTCGAATAAACATTAATTTCAGAATATTGTTGTTGTTGTTTCACGGCGATATGTTGCTCCTGACGTATCTCTTAAGAATGTCCAGCAATAATCAGCAAGCAAATTGACACTCCATTTGCCTTGATACCGTTTTTCCATAGCAGAAATGTCTTGAAGGAATCGTTCACCACGTTCATCACTTACCGCACCTAAATTTTTCGGAAAAAGATTGAGATGATCACCCAAAAAGTGAATTTTTAGAGACATGTCACATCTCAGTCCTTTATAAGCATTAATTAGTTCACTCAGAATATCTTTATAATTGCAGTATCTGATTCCAAGGTCGTAATTCAGTTTCATTTAGGGCACTGTCAAATATATCATCCTTCAGGATTTTCCGTATTTGTGGGCCCACAAATATGCCCTCTTTAATTTTTGTCTCACTAAGTCTCGCAAATGTTTGTTTTAAATGCAGAAACCCTCTTCCATTTCGATCCATAGCCTTCACAAAATCTTTCATCAGTCCCAGCTTAATATGCAAAGGTGGAAGCAACACGTTTTTGGGATCAACTAGTGGTTCATGAGCAAGTTTTTTGATGCCGGAGTTAGTACCTGACGTAGTGGCCACTCCTTCTGTTCATAACGACGATCTCGCGCACGACTGTCCCATTCACAAAGAAAACAACAATATTTGATATCCCAGTTGCATTCCAAGAAGAAGGGCTATTACCTTTAAATCTGCACATATGGCCCATCCATATTCATTATAGCGGATATGTTCTCACAGAAAATCGCATATCTTCATATGATTCTTTCATATGAGCTGGGTGCGCTATAGGTATATATACGTAGGATATGGATATTTATTACCGTTGTGTACCAGCATCGCTTTTAAACTAAGCTTAGAGGAATCATTGAACATGCGTCAATCATTTGGATCATGTTTCGGTCCTTACGCGTCAAACAAATTGTTGACATCGGAGAAATATATCAACTCCGTTTCGGAAACAGTGTGTGAGGTTTTGTTGCCGTTTTCGGTAAAAAGTAGTGTTAACATCACCGTGGAGAAGATTCCATCCTTTTAATCTTGACGCTAAAAGTTCTGACTGGAATTTTGACAGATTTAATTCTCGAACTAAATCATTAAGTTCACCCTGAGTGATCAAATGCGGCGCTGTTGAACATCCTGGCAGGTCAAACGAAAGATCGGAAATGTTTACGCTTTCTGTACCATCACTTTTAGAATCGGTGGATTTGACTTTTTCATCCAAAGACCAAGATTCTGGTGGAACTGGGACAGAAAGTTCATCACTATCCTTAACGGGTCGCAAAGCTGTTGGTAAATTAAAATACTTAACAGTATGTTTCGATTTTGGTCCAATACGTTTAATATTTGTGAGGCACAAATAGCAATCAGTAGTATGATCTCTCGGTTCTCTCCACACTATTGGTACTGCAAAGGACATTTTACGATTGTCGCCTCTTAACCAAACTGTTAACAATGTTACACAAGTCTTACAACATATATGGGGGGCCCATAGTTTATCTTGGTCGCCAACTTTAATTCCAAAATAAAGTTCGTATGCTTTCAACGCAAGGGGAGTAAAAGTACTTTTTTGGGATTTGAAAGTTAGCTCTCCGCGCACATAACAAAAACTGTTTGCACTATTTACACAATTTCTAGGGATTGTCCATAAAGCTAGTCTCGATCACAATAAACTAAGAACAACACACCGTTTTAACAAAAATTAACAGTAC